CTCTCCAGCCTGTCCAGGTCCCTCTGAATGGCAGCACAGTCTTCTGGTGTTTCAGCCTCTCCCCCCAGTTTAGTATCATCAGCAAACTTGCTGAGGGTGCCCTCTGTCCCTTCCTCCAGGTCATTGATGAATATATTGAACAAGACTGGACCCAGCATTGACCCCTGGGGGACACCACTAGCCACAGGCCTCCATCTTGACTCTGCACCACTGACCACAACCCTCTGAGCTCGGCCATCCAGCCAGTTCTCAATCCACCTCACCGTCCACTCATCTAGCCCACACTTCTTGAGCTTACCTACAAGGATGTGATGGGAGACAGTGTCAAAAGCCTTGCTCAAGTCCAGGAAGACAACATCCACTGCTCTCCCCTCATCTACTCATTTCTCTGCAGTACCTCCCATTGATACTGAGCATCCTTTCCCAGAAGGGAACACTGGGGTAGCTTCTCAGGGTTGGTTGGTGGTGTTACTGTTGTTTTTTAGCAAGGTGTTAGCAATTTTGCTGGTAATAGCTGCTGCACCTATCTGCCTTATATGTTCTGAACCCATTTCCTTGAAAAATGATCTACCAAAACAAGAAAGTAAATTGTATGAATTAGGTAATTTAACTTTTCAGAAGCGCTGAACTCTGGACTTTAGTTGATGAGGACATTTAGCAACTAGATTTAAAAAAAAAAAAGCAAGTCTACCTGCCCAACTTCCATATGTGCAAGAAGACTGTTTTTCCTAACGCTGTATGTTGGTTCTGTACATCATGGCTAACTGTAATAAGTAACTATTTTTTAGTTCAAAGACTAGAAACACACAGATGAGGATTATTCTGTAGTTTGGAGGATGCTTAGAGCCGGTGCAGTACCGGCTAGGTATTTGCATTGATAAAATTCCAATGACGTAATGAAACTGTTAGAGCAGTTCTCACGCTGTTTGTATAATATATGAGAAAAATACATAGATTTATTTATTTTTTAAGGACATGGGTCTGATTCAAACTGAAATGTTTGTAACGAAAAACCGACAGTCAGTTTGAAAAATTCTGTTTTGGCTCCTTCAATTTATTCAGCTCCCATGAGCCACTGTAGGACAGATGGCTGTGCTATTTAAAACAAACTATAACCTTTAAGAAGAAGCTTGTACTATTGGAAACTAGATACACACATTGAGAATCTTAATAGTCTGTGTTGAGTGATAGTGAAAATTATCTGAAGAACTGCAAAGGCTTTTATTCTGAACTGTCTCTCCAGGCTGACAGCACAAAAGTAGCAAATGTAAGTGATGCAGGACTTCATGGATCACCAGAGGCTTCAGAAAGCACCAAATAACATTTAAAATATCTGTGTAATGCTTCATATTAGAAAGGAGAAGCATTCTGTAATGTTGTGATTTTTAAGATGAATAGCAGGAAGGTGAGGGGTTTTTTTTGGTGGGGGGGATTGCTTGTGTGTCAAATTTCCAAAATGTGAGAGCCGGCCTGGCCCTGCGGCTGTGGGAGCTGGGGCTGCTGGGCATGCAGAAGTGTGCCCATGCCCCTGCACTTGCTTGCAGTCACTGCAAAACACGGTGCGTCTGCAGAAGGCATGTGCACGAGCCTCTCCTTTGTGCTCGGATGGGGTTTGCTTCCAATATCTTCAAATGCCTGATGGGTAACCTGCTATGCTAGAAGACATGCTGTGGCCTGCAGAAGGGGCATGTGTGCACCTGCACGCGTGTTCCCTGCAAAACCAGTGATTACAAGAATAAACTAGGTAAATTGAACTTAAGCAAAGAGTAAGTGAAAGACTCTTTTTCACATTGACATAGTAGCTGGAATAAAATCTTGGTCCTGATGAAATCCATGGTAAACTTCAGTTGATTCCTGCAGGGCCAGGATTTCTTCTCGGCCGTCGTAGCTCTGCTCCTCCTGGCTCTGAAAGAAGTTGAGCTGAAATGTGCCCAACTTGCACCTCTGAGGAGAGGTAGTGCTGCTACCCCATCCAAGTTTATCATTGCAGCGTTTTTGAGGGTGTGGGTTAGAGAGTCTAGCTCTCATGCATATGAAATTCTTTCATAAAATCCCTGCTTATGAAAACCAGCCAGAGCTTAATTACTCTTCTGCACAAGTACTCTAATGTTACTGGACTTATTCTAGAGGTGAACGTATTCCCCCAACAGCAGTTTGACTCCAAACTACATTTAGCTAGATCTGTTTTTCCAGTTTCCAGCACCACTCTAAAAACATTAAGCCTGTTCTAGCCTGTTTCAGCCATTGGAGTTCAGGTAGGAGAGACCAAGCAGCTGCTCACCACAGCAGGCAGGTCTCATGGAGCCCCTCGCAGGCTCTGCGAGGGCCCTGCCAGGCTTCGCCATGAAGGCAGGTAGCTTAGACCTGAGGCACCGGTGAAGAGAGAATCAGTGGAGAAATTGCCCATAAAAAGATGACGAGGCCACTACTATGGAGCGTGGCAGAGGTGTTTGCAGCAGCCTTCTAAACAGGACAGCAGGACAAATCGGGGTTTGTCCAAGCCAGGGAAAAGGAGGTTCCAACAGCTGGGATAGATAGATACAAAATGATGAGAACAGGACAGGCGCAGCATGGAAATCTGCAGGACTGCATGTGAGAACTGAGAGGGCTATAGGGAAGGCGACAGGTTCAGTTACTCCATTTAGCCAGAAACTATTTGCTCCAGCAGCTGTAAGAGGCAGGGTATATTTGGAGGAAAGACTTGGGGACTAGATGGACCATTGGCCATCTAGAACTGGAGACAATAGATGCATGTTTATAAGACATGTCAGGAAGCCTCTAATCAAACAGTATCTCCAAGTGGAGCAGCGGGGCTGGAGGCCGTAGTGCGACTCTGCCTCATTCCTTCCTTTCAGTAAAGTCACAAAGCACAGTATGAAAGTGCTATGTTTTCTCCAAATTCTAATAAAAATATATACTGGGGAAAAATACCTGATGTAATCATTCAGATCAGTCTCAAAAGGAGATCATAACACCTTGAGGACTTGAATGTCTGAGGTTCCTTCAAATAGAATATACAAACAATGGCTTGGTTGACTGTACGGGTATTTTTGAAGGGCGATTTCTAAAAACCAAACACTGGCACCAGTCCCAACAAAGGCTTCTAAGCTTTACATGAAATGATGGAGTGTGGTTTTTTTCCTTCCCCATCATAAAAATATGATGTGAATTTGTTGAAGTTAGTGGGATTTCTCCCCCACGCCTTCTCCCAAAGATCTGAGGATAAGGAATTGCACCCAAATGGAAAAAAACTCTGTTTCCAGAGGTACTGCAGAAGCTAGCATTATTTTTCCAGTTGATAAGAGCCCTAGGTCTCTGTAGGGACTCTTTCT